GGAAATTAATTCATAATAAATTCCTGACTTGTCCAAATGATGAAAAAGACCTACCAAAATAACCCTAACAGAAAGACCTATGACTCTGTAAAATTACATGCAATTCTAAAAAGAAAGTATATTTAATACGGATTATCGAACAACAGGGCAGAACACAACATATAATTAACCGATAAGCATTATATAGAAGTTTGGCAAAAAGAGGAAATCAAAATCCTAATTATTATTAGATGCAATGTTCTTACTAATAAGATCCCCCGAGGGGTGGAAGAGTACGATAATAGATATCTAAGACGGTATCGAAAGTCTTTAAAATTAAACTATATAAGTAAAACAATATGGCTAAATTAAGAGCACACAAGATCCACACGCCTTCCATATGAACACATCCCTCGATCCTCGAACTCGACTCCAACTTTACGACTCGTGCTCGGGATTGAAAGTACCTACAAGCATTTCAACACCTATATGAGTCTTTTGGACTCAATGAGAATTTCCGAAGAAATATCGAATACACATAGGCAAACAAGCATATATTTATGATATGTATATATGTATATATGTATATATGTATATATCCCATCTCGAATCACACATATACACAATAAAAACATTTCGATTTTACCTCAATCGTCATTTCATTGAGGAACTTTACCAATTTACCTTTACCATCTCGGATAACCTCTTAGACCTTCCTTTCATCATTTCATAAGGAATAAGAGTAATCCCTTACAAGGGAGTCGTCATTCTTTTACACACACATTCATTCTAGTGCTCATACAATGTGTGAGAAAAACATTTTTGTTCGGATATCCTTTGGAAAATCAAGTAAAACCATATACAATAAGCCTTCATTTATTTGGAACTCGTTTCATAAGTGGAATCAAACCACACACTCTTCATCTCATTTTTGGGGTACCGGTCCCTCATACCCCGTGCTTATTCGATCTATGTTTTACAAGACTTTCCAATTTTAAAAACGTGCAAGTGAGGTTAGCACATACTTTCATTCATTTCAAACAATTTGATTAGGTGTGTGAGAAAACATTTTTCTTTCGGATATCCTTTGAAAAATCAAGTAAAACCATAGACAATAAGCCTTCATTTATTTGGAACCCGTTTCATAAGTGGAATCAAACCACACACTCTTCATCTCATTTTTGGGGTACCGGTCCCTCATACCCCGTGCTTATTCGATCTATGTTTTACAAGATTTTCCAACTTTAAAAACGTGCAATGTGAAGTTAGTATTTATTCAACATTTCACATATTCAAAGTTAGCTTTCACATAAGCACACATATTTCCACATATTTCACAAAGGCAAGTGTAGTCACAAAATCACAAAAGCAAGTAAGACACATAACAACTCAAGCAAAGAACATAGATCACATATTTACACATATAGCAAAAAAAAATTCAAAGCATTCGGTTATTTATAATTACTATCTCCAAGTTTCATTAATTAAAGTTCAAGCCCTCTTTCTCAAGAGACTTCAAGTTTTCTTTCAAGTAGCACCAAATTTCCATTTTTATTAATCTTGTTCTCGGTTTTTATCTTCGTATATTATCTTATTACTCATAGTTCATAAACCATTGATCGTAAACTTCCTCGACCCGGAGGGAGTACACTTACAACCACGTAGGTCGATATATATACACATAGAAACATATTCTTATATATAGCACATATAGATTACAAATAAACCATGGATCAAGTACTTTCTTCGACCACGCAGGTTTACGAAAACCATGGATCGAAGTTTCCTTAAGATCACGCAGGTCTAGTATATATACATAAATAAAATTACAATATTATTCTTAGTTCTTCAAGATTATATCATTTAAAGCTTAGATTCTTACATGCATGGATGATCAAAGCATAAATTAAACACAAATTTTTATTTTCTTTCTCCTTTAGTTTTCGGTCACCACAAGAACATTAACAAGAGATTAAAGAGAAGAAAAATACTATTGGTGTTGAAGCACTTGTAGCAAGAATTCGAAAATCCTCACCTTAATCTTCTTAGATAATTGGAAGGGTGTTCTTTCCTTTCTACAAGGAGAAGAAGAAGAAATTTTAGAGAAAGAGGAAGGAGAAGCTTAGCTTCTTGAATTTTTCGAAAATGAAGAAAAGAAAGAAGAGGAAGAAGACTTACTCCTTTGGCCAAGAATTTTGCTCTTGAAAGAGAGATTTTGGGGCTTTCCTACACTACTAATTTCGAAAATGGAGGAGAAGAGAAAGAGATTTTGATCTTTGATCTTTAGGATGTGTGGAGAATATGAGAAAATAGATGAAGGCTTGGGTTCTATTTATAGAGTAGTGGGGGACTTGCAACCTTAAAGATTAAGAATTGAAGAGTGACCTCTTCTTTGCAATTTCATTTAACTATTAAAAAAGAAATTCAAAAGAAAAATCTTAATGTACATGGGCTCACCTAGAGAAGGGTTGTACTAAAGGAAAATTTTGGTCTTGTGTTGTACCATGGTCAAAATTGAGGGATGAATAGGAGGAATTTTCTATTTTTATTTAAGAAAATATGTGATTTAAAATTCTCCTAACAAATAAGTTCTAGCAAATAAAGGAGTATAATTAATTTCTAGATCAATAATTAACTAAGATGATCAATTTAAATTCGTCCAAAATTATTTCGGATTAATGCATTCTATATGAAACTTCATCGGTTATCACATAAATAAAATCTTAAACTAATAAACACACATAAGAAATAAAATCACGTTAATTAAATAGATGCTAATTAATGAAAAATTAAATTATCGGAGACGCGTGGTGTTACAAAATTTATGTTTGTGGCCAAAATTGAAGATATTGGAGTTAGATAAAGGTTACAATTAAAATTGGGTTGGTAGGGTTGAGGGTAAGTTTGCCATAAACATTAAGTTTGCCTCTGTTTATAATAGATGTTAAAGGGATGTGTTTATTGACAAAAAGGAAAAAATACATAAATTTAGACAAATAAAGGTGGTTGATAAGAGACCTACTCAAAAAAACACTCACAAAAACTCTAATATATAAAACAAGGACAAATGACAAATAAGTCCATGACAATGAACTTAAACGCACATATGTCCAGACAAAAAATAATTTCGCAAATAAACTCATTCTCATATCTTTTATCTAAAATACCCATCGTAATATAATTTTCATCAATTTCATCAATTATTCTCTAACTTCATTAATATTGCACATTGACCTCGGATTTGAACAAATATATCACATTAACCCCCATTTTCACAATTTTTGGAAAAAAAATCTTTTTTTAGAAAATAATTTTTTTTCTGAACTTTTTATACCGGCCAGATTCCGGTGTTGATTTTTTTTTTTTTAATTTGTTTTCTAATTAAATTACTATGTTAACAACAAAATTACTGTGTGAAACAGTAATATTGAATGCCAAAGCAGTAATATTACTAATATTACTGTCCGTAACAGTAACATTACTAATACTACTGTCCCAAACAGTCGTATTACTAATATTACTGTCTGAAACAGTAATATTACTGTCGGAGAAAGTACCATTACGGTCGGAGACAACAATATTGCATGCCAAGACGATAAGATTAATTAATATTGTGTTAACAACAATAGTACTGTCTAAAACAGTATAGTTAGGGCAGTAATATTATTGTCTTTGACAATAATATCAATGAAAAATAGTTTTAAAAAACAAGTTTTAAAAGAAAATTTCCAAAAAAAAAAAGTCAACGGCGACTGACCTGCCGAAAAAAAAAATTCAGACAAAAAAATGTTTTATAAAAAATGAATGCCGGAGACCGGCGGTGGTGGTCAAAATTGGGGTTAAAATTAAAATAAGGGTCAAAATTGATTTATTGGTGAAATTGGCCTAAATTAGAATGTAAATCATGAAATTAGAGTTGAATTAGAGGTTGAAGAAGTTGGGTATAATTTTGGTATATATGAAAGAGTTTTTCCTTGTTAGTAAGTTTGAATAGGTTGATTCATTTGCAAGAAAAAAAAAAATATATATTATTTTTTAATTGAGTGCCTCTCTCATAGACCTATATGGAATTTGCCCCTAAAACAATATACGGCATACCGCATATGTTTGGATAAATTCGAACTAAAATTGATATCATTTAATATTCCATAGAAGTAGTCCCTTGGATTGTATCAGATAGAAAGCTACATGGTTAAAATGATTTATTTAAGAATAAATGGGGAGTATGTATATTGGTTGGAGAAGAGGTGGAAATTGGTTAGTTAAGCATATATGTATGATTTCCCGGGTTTTTTGGAAAAAGAATGACCATTTTTATCATTTGTTTATTACATGTCTCTCATTTTCTCTTTTCTTTTTCTACCACCATTACCAACCTCCTCCTTAGTTTATCAAATATGCACCCCACGTCCTATTACTGATCGATCATCCCTCAAACACAAAAATTAAAAATACTTTAAACAAAATATTCCCACAAAACTAATTATTAATCTTTCATCAGAAAAAAAAAACCCTTTTCCCAAGGGGTTTTCCTCGCCGGAAAAAAAAAATCAAACTAGTAGAAGAAGAAGAAATTAAAGGAAGATCAGGCAAATGTGGTTTGTTTTGCATGAATTCTTTCTCCAGGATGGCGAAAGAAGAGCGTGGCGGCGTACAAAAATCGAGGTCCTTTCATTTTCGTAAAATGTTTGATATTAGACAAGCTAACAATAATAATAATGTTCATGAGAATGGAAATGGAAGAGAGGAGGGCAATGATGAGAAGGTACAAGTAAATAGAAACGGAGAAGGTATAAAACCAGAAGAAGCAGGGACTGCTTTGTTAGTAGATGAAAAGATAGCTACCATTATGGATCCCAAATTGATTAATGATGGAGCTGCAGCTGCAGCTCCATCGGGGAATTTCAAGAAAGAAAAAAAAGTTTCCTCTGGTACGTACCGTATTTATTTTTTATTTATTTTTATTATCGATCTCATCGCATCCAATTTACTCTTTATTTATGTATATACGTTAATTTGTTTGTATTAGATATGGAATTGATGAAGGAAAGATTTTCAAAGCTGCTTCTCGGAGAGGACATGTCAGGTGGTGGGAAGGGTGTTTCTTCTGCTTTGGCCCTTTCCAACGCCGTTACCAATCTTGCTGGTAAACCGATTTTAATATTGTTATTTTATAATATTTTCCGGATTATATCAAAATTGTGATAAAAAAAAATATGCAGCTTCTGTTTTTGGAGAACAAAGCAAGTTAGAGCCAATGTCTGCAGATAGAAAGGCAAGGTGGAAAAAGGAAATTGACTGGCTTTTATCAGTTACAGATTACATTGTTGAGTTTGTTCCTTCTCAACAGAAATCAAAGGATGGGACAAATATGGAGGTAACAGTTTATAATAATACATCATTCCCATATGTATGTTTTGACCATTTATCTCAATATATGCTTCATTGTTTGATAGATAATGGTGACACAACAACGGAGAGACCTTCTTATGAACATTCCAGCCTTGCGCAAACTTGACGTCATGCTCCTTGTAAGAATACGCCGCCCGAATTGTTTAGTTTTTTTCTTCTTCTTCTTTAATAATAATAGTAATGAAAAGAACGACAACGAATGAGCAGGGTGTCCTGGATAACTTCACAAACGAGCAAGAATTCAAGTATGTGAAAAGAGATGCAGATGACTCTGAACGAAATGATAAATGGTGGCTACCTAGTGTCAAGGTTCCCCCAAACGGATTGTCAGAAGAATCCAGACATTTTTTGCAAAAGCAAAAAGAAGCTGTTAATCAAGTATTGAAGGCATCAATGGCAATTAACGCTCAAATACTCTCAGATATGGAGATCCCCGACAACTACATCGAAACCCTCCCTAAGGTATGTTTTGGTATATTACGGGCACTAGGTAAGACTAAATAACTTACAAACCCCTCTAGTGTTTGTAATTACAAATACCCCTGAACAATTTCTACGTCTTATAATTATACTTTACATGGCTATAAGTAACGGAATCTTGAAGATTCCATAAAATACTCGTTATGAATAACCCAGAAAGTAAATGTAATGTAATATTTTGTTTTACCTCAAGGATACCCGTAATTTAGACATAGTTTGTTTATTTAATAAAAGAATAATTTAGACAATTCATTCATTCCGTTTACGGTTTATAAGTGGCTGTTAGTTGTAGGGGTCTGTTTAATTACCAATACCACAGGGATTTGTAATTTATTTAGTCTTACCTTAGAGAGAATCCCTAATTTACCCTTTTTTCGCCAATAAAGAGAAGTGAAGCCACTTCGTCTCAAAAACTTATTTGATAATGAGTGATTGTGATATTATTGTAGAATGGAAGAGCGAGCCTAGGTGAATCAATATATAAAAGCATTACAGTCGAGTTCTTCGATCCACTGCAGTTCCTATCGACAATGGACTTGTCATCAGAGCACAAAGTCCTCGACCTAAAGAACAGAATAGAGGCATCAATAGTTATATGGAAAAGGAAAATGCACCACAAGGCCGACAGCAAATCGTCAAACTGGGGCTCCGCCATAAGCTTGGAGAAGAGAGAGCTTTTCGAAGAGAGAGCAGAGACAATTCTACTCCTATTGAAACAACAATTCCCGGGCATACCACAATCGTCCCTCGAAATAAGCAAAATCCAATACAACAGAGACGTAGGTCTATCTATACTCGAGAGCTATTCAAGAGTAGTTGAGAGCTTGGGGAATACGGTGATGTCGCGCATACAAGATGTCTTGTACGCGGACTCTCTGGCGGCAGATCCATCACTAGCACTGGCAAATTGGAATATCGAGTCGGGTGAGTCAACACCATCCCCCACACTGAGTAGCTTAGCAAGCCCTATAGAACAAGACTCGGAGAAAACGAGTTGTGCTGGAGAAACACCTTCTTCGATGACACTCTCTGATTTCATGGGATGGGACTTTGTGCCCTCGGCGGATATCAAGAAGAATCATTCGACGGGTAATTTAGAGTCGTGCGTTAGGGTTGAAGAAGAAGAAGTAGTAAAGGAAAGCAAGATGATGGTGATGACAAAACCTGTTTCTGCATTATTTAACAAGTTTTCGTATACAGATAAGATTGAGATGAGTGGTTTGAGAAGTCCAACTGCACGCCATTAGTTAACATGATATAACAACACTACTGTTACAATTGCTTTGGTTGAGTGATTATTAGTTAAATAATAATTAATATAAGAAGACTGCTCTTCCTTCCAGTTGTACTTGTGGATAGGGAAGTTTAAGTCATTTGTTTACTGTGTGTTGCTCAGTCCAATACTGCTCTTGTTGTAATTCTTTTAGATGATTTTTATTTTTTTATTTTTTTTATTTTGTTTATTTTGAAAATTTTAATTTCGATCTTCTGGGTAACATTATTTTGTATTTATTATATTTTTACGATTTTTATTTTGATTAATTACCATGTATACCTCAAGTCAAGACTAGGTTAGAAGAAGAAATATATATGAAGAAGGTATACTTACTACAAAGATGTTTGTTTCCATTCTAAATTTGGAAATCGATAGCACAGTCTCCAAGTTGCTCTGCAGTCTCAAGTTGTGCAAGGAGCGTATTATTTTTCCTGTGATTGCGCTTTCCCGATTCACCAAATACAGTTTCGACACTTATTCTTGCTTCTCTCTTCTTCTTTTGCGTTCGGGGAATCTCTGATTCTGTAAAGAAAATATGTTACATCATCATGTCCAGTATTAGTATGAAAGAACGAAAACATGCAAGTCGGTTACAAATAAATGTTACTCATGAAATTGAGCAATGCGATTTAAATAGCTCAATTTTCGAACACAGTTTGATTATTTAGTACCTTGATTTTGGTGATGAGAAGAAGAAGAAGGAGAAGAAGAGTTTGATCGAGAGCAGCATAACCATATTCGTTCGTCCTCGTTTTCAGATTCTGATACAATAGGAATATGCCATTGCCCTTCCTCTGTTTCCTGTCATGTTATAACACAATTTAAGACAACAAATACAAATGTTGTGTTCAGTCTCGTAAAACAAGAAAGACGAACCTGTATAACAACAGAACATGGAGGCGGCATGCGAAATGTAGGACCGGTTTCAGTAAAACTGAAACGAACCTGATGCCTTTCTTTCCACTTAGGGAAAAAATCATTCCCAAACAGTTGAAAAAGGTGATCTCTCATTTCATCGTTTGTCACTAGTAAGCATCCGCACTTTATAGCTGCATAAAGCCAGTACCTGAACCCCACCCACAACTTAGTTTCTCTGTAAAAATCCTTAAAAATTCCACTTAATCGGCTATTTAAAATAATGTATTTGTTTACCAATCATCATTTGAACCAGTAGGCGTCGCGTAGATAGCATCAGCAGTTCTCCACTTTTCTATCAATGCTTTGTTGAAAGGTTCCTCCATTTTCCCTCCGTTAATACGCCTGTTATGCAATACTATAAGCGGCCATTTTCTACAATGAAGCATCTGCCGTATTCCATTCACAACAGCATTCACCTGTTCATAATAATAATCATAATATTTTTTTTTAGATAATATACGTATATAAGTAACGAACCCCGATACAGTAAAACTTTGTCTACTTGCCTTTGATGGTTTAAAACTTCTTTGGCTGTAAAGACCGACATTTGCAGCATCGACGACTGCCTCAAAGGGTCCATAATAGTCGAGCCACTTCTGAAATTTCTGAAAGCTCGAATCTTTCTCTCTCTCAGCAGCTATAGATGCCACAGACTTGGCAAAATTTTCCGTTTCCACCGGGTCAAGGTCAATGGTAACTAATTTTTTACCACAACATTTGCATAATCCATCAGAATCAACAGGCGAACGAGACACGGTCCATTTTCCTTTACCCAACCAACCCTTTCCATGCCACCCACCACCTCCATTTTTCATTGCTTCGATAATTAAATTTTGATCCCATTTTCTTTTACCAACTCTCGAAGCAGTCTTGCTCGTAAACCACCTCTCAATCAACTCTGCTGTGGAAGACGACACCTGTCTCACACTTGTCCTAAGTTTATGCAAAACATTATATACCTTTTCACTCTTTCCAGCATCTATACTTACCTTAAGGAGTGCTTCGAGTTCGGGCTCCTCTGGATAGACACCATGCTCAAGCATGTGGCTTTCGACTTTAAACGCGTTGTCAATATCTCCATTACTGCAAAATATAGATAGAGCAGGCCCGTAGGATCTCAGCCTAGGGTTTATACCGTATTCTTTCATTTGTTTGACCATATCAAACGCCATGTCACCATCACCAAAAGCCGTGGCCATTCTAGCCACGGATGTAAATGTTGCTTCGTTCATTGGGATATTTTCCAAACGCATTTCATTGTATATTTCGAACCCTTTACGTAGTGCAGCCCTCTTCACCTCTTCACTTACTTGAACACCGTAACTCTTACTTTTATCATCATTCCTATTTGAATTATCGGCTTTCTGTTTCAGAAAACGAACCAAATCATCTAAAGATTCTGGATAAATCTCCATAGACCCATTAACAGAATTTCTTCTGGAAGAATCCCCTTGTACATCACTAAAATCAGTACCAATTTGTTTAGTTGTTTTCCGAATATCACTGAATTCAATAAAAGATTCAGAGCCAGAACTCAAACTGCGAGTGCCGGTCCCGCTTTTTGCGGGCTGAACAATACCAGTAGCTGCAGAAGAACAAAGATATAAAAGTACAGCATAATGGTACTGCCCCAATTTAATGAATTCTTTCTTAGCCAACTCATACAGCTTAATTGCACCGACCACATCACCCCTTTTAGAGCACATATCCAAACCAACCCTAAGCGTAGATTCTGGTGAATCAATTTTGTCTTTCTTACTTCTTCTCTTCTCCTTTTGCTTATCTGGCACCTTATTATTATTCTTATGCTCAATCAAATTACTATTCACCGAATGTGTAGCTTTGAACCTAATAGAAGAAGAAGAAGAAGAAGAAGAAGAAGAAGAAGAAGAAACCACTTGTTTTCTTGATTTAGAATTGAGACCAATCTTGGCAGCATGTCTATCCTTGAGTATAACTCTTTTCTCAATTGGTTTCTGCGCACGGTTATGATTTCTTACATGAGAATTATTACTTACATCATCAGCAACAGCAAAAGAAGAAAGCCCAGAGAGAAAATCGGCATTGACGTCGTTTCCTGAATTTGCTTCGGCTACGTCTTCAGACAAGCTCGTTGCGGAATGAGCGGAAACGCGTAGCTTCTTAAGTTGATGTTTGGTGGGTGTAATATCATAAGAAAAGTAGAAATTGAAGTTTTTAGAGAGAGAGAATGAGGAGAGGTGTAGTTGAGTTTGTTGAAGGAGGAGGGGTTTGAAGGTAAAGGAGGCCATTTCCGGCCGTTACAAAACCTCTCTATCAATATCAATGTCCGGTTGGGTTTATAAGTAATCAGATAAACATCATATCCGCTCCCAGGAACTTAAACTATGTTTAAACAAAATGTTTTTTTTGCACCTTAAATTACATTTTTAGTCCTTCATGTTTGGTCCAATTCCACTTTTGATCCCCTTGTTCTAAAGTGAACAAATTTCACTTTCAAGGTTCAATTTTAAACATATTTAGTTCCCTCCATCACGTGTCCGTTCGTATCTAACGGAAAACACTAATTTGGAGCCAAATTGAAATTGAAATTTGTTTGGGACTGAAAAATAAAAATTTAAAGTATTATTTATAGTTAATTTTTAATAATATTTAGTATAATAAAAGTTAAAATAGTTTTGGGGACAATTTGTCTTCTTGTTTTTTTTCTTTTTGATTTATTTACGCATATATATCATTTTGTTTGTTAAAATTAATATACTATTCAAAAAAAATTCTAATGTATTTGTATTTAATATATTGTTTTTGCATTTTATTTTTGAAAATTAAATATTATTCAGTTTTCATTTTATTATACTAAATATTATTTAAAAAAAATAATTATAAATAACACTTTAAATTTTTAGTTGTTTTTCAGCCACAAAACAATTTCAAATTTCAATTTTGGCCCCAAAATAATGTTTTCCGTTAAATGTGAACGGACACATGACAGAGGGGACCCAAATGTATTTAAAATTGAACCTTGGAGGTGAAATTTGTTCACTTTGAATAGGGGTGGCAACGAGCCGAGCTCGGCTCTTTTGGCCAGCTCGAGCTCATCGAGCCAATTTTTTTAATTTTGTTTATTATTTATTTTTTTATTAAAATCATTTAATTTTTTATTAAAAATCATTTATAGGAAAATAAAAAAAAATTATAAAATAACTAATGAACTCTAGTTATATTTTTTTAATTTTTTAATTATTATTATAATATTTTATATTACTATGAATTATATAAATAGTATAGATTTGTTTCTATTTAAATAATATAAATATTTATTATTATAGACTATTTACTATTTGATTAATATATACCTAATAATTGGGCCCACTACACAAAGCCCAGTCACCTGCAAAATAAGCCTTAGGCCCAATTAAGTAAACTCAACTCATTCAACGACATATAAATAGAAGTCTTTACTCATTTGTTAAGGTACGTTCTATTATTCACAAGCAAGCTAGAATTTTATTCTCTCTACCATATTCACGATCCGTACATCTAACTTGAGCGTCGGAGGGGTTTTCGCCGGATCAACCCCCGGCTTAGTTCACGTGTGTTTATTTCGCAGTGACCTCAGGATCATCGAGTTGTCAAGCTACTGATCCGCTTTGCTCTCCCAGCTCGTTTTCTACACTATCCTAGGTGATCTAAGTAATTAGCATCATCATTTTGGCACCGTCTGTGGGAACGATGCAAACCAGATCACGTAGCCAACAAGATTCTCCTGAGGCATCCGCTCGGGGAGAGAATGACACAGCTAACAACCTCCCAATCCGTGGAAGCTCTGGCTTGCCACCTCCTCCGCGTGCTCCAGATCCGCCTCGCGAGGTTCAGGTGATCCCCCCTCGGGACCCACCACTCGCCGATCCGCCACTCCCTGCTCCTCGAACGGTTCAAATAACCGAGGATGCGCTCCAACGCATGATAACAGAAGCCTCAACTCGCGCCGCCACAGAGGCCGTGACCCAATATATCGCCACGATGGGAGCAAATGTTCCCAATGCGATACCAGCACCAGCTCCACCTGTGGTGCAACCAATGGCACCACCGCCAGTCCAGAACCAAATAAGTGTCTCCTCCTCTACCTCGGACCCACGGTCCCGAGTGCAACTATCCACAAATCACCGAGGGGCACAACCCAGACAGCAACGTCAGCGCTCACCCCCACGGGGAAATGCGTCTCCACAGAGAGTCCCTCTCTTTAATGAGGGAGAAGGCGAGGTAAACAGCAGAATGTCTCGTCAAATTTCCTTTCCCCAATTGAACAATCCCATTGGCGGAGGAATGCCCGCCCCAGTAAGACGCAGTCCTTTCACCATAGACATCCTTAACGAGGTACTACCTCAAGGAGTGAAGATCTCGGGGTTACCCCAGTTTGAAGGGACCACCGATCCACAAGTGCACATAGAGAAATTTAACGTCATGGCAGATTTGTATGGCATAACGCACGCTGCAATGTGCAAAATGCTCCGCACCACTCTCTCTAAGAGAGCTATGAATTGGTTCAACTCTCTGTCCACAGGATCGATTGACACCTTCGCTCGATTGTCAACACGCTTTACCAATCAATTCGCCATCAACAAGTAGTATACCAAGACCCCAGCCCACCTTTTCTCTGTAGTACAGAGAGATAACGAAACGCTCTGCAACTACATCAAGAGTTTTGTAGAAGCCGTCCACGAAGTCCCAAGCATTGGACAAGACATGCTCTCCGGGATCATGCAACAAAACTTGAAGCCGGGTAGGTTCAAAGAATCTATTGCTGCAAGGCCACCAGGCAACCTAGAGGAATTGCTGAACCGAGCCGAGAAATACGTACGAATAGAAGAAGCCTCTACCCATGCCCCTCATAAGAGGAAGAGGGAAGATGATCGACAGGATGTTAGGAGGCGGGATGATCGACGTCCACCACTCCCACCTCAAGGCCAATTATCTTCTTCCTACAATCGTTTCACTCCGCTAAACACTCGCCTCACTAAAATCCTTCAGGTGATAGAACAAAGAGGTTTAGCAGAACCTCCACGCCCAATGCAGCCAAATGCGAAACGAGAAAAGTCGGATCGCTACTGTCGATTCCATAAGGATAGAGGACATACTACAGAGGAATGTGCACAACTCAAAGTGGCCATTGAGAGGTTGATCAAGTAGGGCCACTTAGGCGAATACATTGATAAGCCTCGAAACAAGCGCCGTGATGACCCCCCTCGCCGAGATAACAATCGAGATCAACCGCAACGACGGGAGGAGGGGGGTCATCGGCGAGAGCAAGATAACAATGATAATCAACCCACCCGGGGAGTCACTGCCTTTATCTCCGGAGGACCGGCGGGTGGCGACTCACAAAATGTGGGACGCTCCCTGCTCAGTCAGCACGTATGAATCAAGAGCACGCCTCTCCATCCGCATCTATCTTTCAGATACGAAGACCTGATCATAGCATAGTCTTCAACTCTTCGGACCTTGAAGGCCCAGATGAAGATCATGTCGATGCATTGGTACTCACGGCGTCGGTGGCCAACTTCTTGGTTAAGAAGATATTAGTGGACTGCGAAAACCCCTCCGACATCATGTATCTCCACTCTTTCAAGCAGCTGGGCATAGATAATGCCCGGGTTAGCCCCATCTCCACGCCCCTAAAAGGATTCACGGGAGAGGGCGTTTTATCCATGCGAGAAGTGGAGTTGCCCATCTCCTTAGGGGACGATCCTTGTCGAATTAGCAAGATAATCAAATTCCTCATCGTCGACCAGCCGTCCCCCTACAACATCATCCTAGGGAGGCCAGCAACCCATACATACAAGTTAGTACCTTCCTCCTACCATCAAAAGTGGAAATTCCCCACTCCTTATAGAACGGGGGAAGTACTTGGAGATAGATGTTTCGCCCGAGAGTGCTATGCAAGAGCCCTACGAGAACCATCCAATAAACCTAAACCTTCCGGAAGGGGAGACGACACCCAAAAACCCGACAAACGGAAATGGGTCAACACGATCATTGAAGACGATAGAGAAATCCTCATCAGTGTACCCGACGATAGCATCAAGCTAGCAGCCATCGAAGAGCTTAAGCTCATAGAGCTCACACCCGGAGATGATTCCAAGCTCCTATGTATCGGATTCGATCTAGATCCAGAGATGGAGAAGCAACTAGTCAAATTCCTGCGACACAATGGAGATGTGTTCGCTTGGAAAGCTCAAGATTTGTCGGGTATTCCCCCTCAGGTATCTCTACATCGGCTCAACGTCGACAAAAGGTTGAAACCGATCAAACAAAGGAAGCGGACATTTGGTCCCAAACGCAACAAGCACATCAAGGCGGAAGTGGCAAAACTTCTAGAGGCAGGTCATATACGGCCAGTTCAGTATCCTGAATAGTTGTCGAACGTAGTACTCGTTCCCAAGCCCGGTGGCAAGTGGAGGTTATGCGTAGACTTCACTGACCTCAACAACGCTTGTCCTAAGGACCCATTTCATTTACCTAGAATCGACCAACTCATCGATTCGACCTCGGGATGCGAGCTCCTCAGCCTCATCGATGCATATGAAGGGTACAATCAAATCTTACTCGCCCTAGAAGATCAAGAGAGGGCCAGCTTCGTCACAGACCAAGGCATCTACTGCTATCAAGTCATGCCTTTCGGGTTAAAAAATGCGGGAGCCACTTACCAACGTCTAGTGAACGCAATGTTCGCAGATCAAATCGGCAAGAATATGGAGGTGTACATCGACGACATGCTCGTCAAAAGTGTCAAGATCTCGGACCATTTAACCGATTTGGATCAGTGTTTCGCCACCCTGCGAAAATATAAGATGAAACTCAACCCCCTCAAATGTTCATTCAGAGTTCGGGGAGGCAAAATTTTGGGATATATGATTTCGCAGCGGGGAATCGAAGCTAATCCCGCAAAAATCGAAGCCATCACCTCCATGGCTCCACCAACATCTATCAAGAAAGTCCAACAACTTAACGACTGTTTGGCATCTTTGAATAGATTCATTTCAAGATCAGCGGACAGGGCTCTCCCCTTCTTCAAGATTTTAAGAACAGGAAAAAAGTTTGAATGGGATGAAGCATGTCAAAAGGCGTTCATCGAGCTGAAGTCATATCATGCATCACCACCCTTGTTTACAAAACCTCAGCCCGGAGACACCCTCCTGCTGTACTTAGCTACCTCAGCTGATGCCATCAGCGCGGTCCTCATCCGAGATGGAGAAAAAAGTCACCAACCCATATACTACATAAGTCGCGCCCTCCAAGAAGCCGAACAATGCTA